TTAACTATTTATTCAAAGGAGTTAAATTTGTTGGTAATGAATATGCTTGTTGCAGTTATGTTGATTACACACAAATATAAGAACAGTTGACTAGATGGCTGAGCAGTTAAGATGTTAGCTTACCGCTATGGGGATCCAGGAATGAATCTGAACAGGCTGAAAAACCCCAAGGAACTTTTGGAAGTAGTCTGTTCCAGATAGGTCACGTCTCGTCCATCACCACTTGGCACCTCATTGTGGGCCTGGCCGAAACCACAATGGGTTTGATAAAAAAAAAACTTCTTATTGCCTACAGGATGGAAAGAATCAGAAAAAACCAACAACAACAAAAAAATGAATTGAATACAGTGATGTATTGTAGTTATTCAGGACACACAAAAGACTAAGTATCAACTCTAACCTCCCTTACTTAACATGAATGAAATTTCACAGTTAAGTGTCAAAGATAATCAGTAGGATGGTGACTTCAGAACCTAGTATAGTAAAAAGACAACCACATTTACAATTTCAGCAGCAGTAGAACAAATGTCAAAGCTTTGTGCATGTGGTTTGTTATCTTAACAAGATTTAATAATTTCAAAACAGTAACAGATATTGCCCAAGTGAATAACATCACTATGTAGTTCTGGAGTGTGTAGGATTAATTAAAATTAAACATCCAGCCTTTGGTTCAACATTTGCTTCTTTAATTTTGTTATAAATACAGAAATATCTAGGAACTATGAATTATTGTTATAAGGAGTTAATAACTTATTGATAATTCAGTTTTTTATTTTTCTTAAATATATGCATGTTTGATATGATTAGTATGTGAATATTTTGAAAATATCACTAAATTATGGGTATTTTCAGAAAATAATTGATAATTTAAGTAAGTTGGAATTCAAAATATTTATTTAAGTATTAAAAAGCAATAAGTAGATCAAAGAATTCCACAATTTCTTCCAAAGAATCTTTATGACACTTAGAAACAATATTCAACATTTCTAACAATTTGCCTGAAGATGATAAAATATCACTGTCATTTTATTTGGTACCCCATTGAACCAATTTTTGCTTTTGAAAAGATCCTAATTTGATTTGAATTTTAAATAACTTACAAGAGAGCATTTAAAATAATACATATGTCCCATTTCACTTTACAGTAGTAAAGAAAAAATAGTAAACTTTCTATACAGTTCTTCTGCAGTTAGAGCAATAAGAATTATCACGCATTTAATGAAAGAGATTTGAAAATCTCTCAGAAGACATAATTTTCTAGACAGTACACTGATGATGAAAATTTCTCATTTGGAATGCAAATTTTTAAGAAAATTGTTAAAAATCAGTAAAGTCAGAGGGATACATTTTTGAACCTGAAGACCTTTGAGATTTGGTGTTTGTTTTTTTTTTTTTTTTTTTTTTTTAAGCNTTTTTTTTTTTGTAAAGCTTTTTCCTAGAGATCTGAGAGGTAACTAACTGGTAATTTTGTAAATCTTTAGGTAAGATATTAATAGATTAGGTATAAGATCTGACTAAAAACTTTGTTGTAAGAATTAGAGAGATGTCTAGAAATATTAGTAAAACTATAGACTTTTTCGGAAACAAAAAATAACAGTCAATTCTTTTTATTGACACATTCCAAAATATTGTGGTGAAAAGCATATACAGGGAGATGTATAAGTAGGTATACAGTTGAGAATGTGAGAAATACTAAATGTTTATTGTTCATTATTATTAAAATAATTCATTATTATAAAAATAAATGTTTTTTCTCCATAATAACAACTGTATACCTACTTTTGCACTCCCCCTGTATATACATATTCATGTCCATGAATAGTAGCAAAGTTCAAATATTATCATTCCTGGAATAACACTGAATTGTTTGCATTTAAAATTACATTAGTATGTATTTATTTACATTATAACTTTTTAATAATTATAATTGTACATAATTACTATTTGTGACATTGTGACAGATTTAAGCAAAAAAAAAAATAACAATAATAATTTTATGAAAGAAATTAAAATTACAAAATTAATCATGAAATTTATCTAATACATTTTTATTAAATGTTGGAACCAATGATCTTTGCTCAAAAAACTAATAAACATTCTTTAGCTTGATTGTACTCTGGACTCCTCAGTTTCACAGGGTAAACTATTAAATAGCATTTCAAATTGAGTAATTTTAATCTGTATTGATGAATATATTGTTTCATCCTATGAACATTTCACTTATATATGAATTGATTATAACAGAAAAATCTAACTTAAAGGACAACTAATGATTATGATCAATTTGTCATCATACTGATGCTAAAGATGAACAGATTAGTGGTATTTATTATATTGCACCCGTTATACAAATGGAACAGGGAAAAAAAAAACACACACAGTATAGTGTTATACGGTATCCTTCATATAACACTATATTTATGTTCCGAAAAAGTGCCATATTACACGAATCTGAATCCATGCTATACAAAACAAAGGACTAATACAAAACATAGAAGAGTATACTTTCATTTTTGTAACCTAACCCTTTTTTGTTGCTAATAAAAATATATTTATTAAGGCAATCAATAATTAACTAATAATCATAATTAAAAAGTACTGTAATATTAATTTTAGTTAAACGAGGGTATTTTATTTTTACAAAGTATCATCATCTCTGCAGACATTTCTGATCAAGATCAACATTTTTTTTATGTATGACATAATAAAAAAAAAATGTTATTAATTGAAACTTTGTTCTAGCGGGTCGCGTTTGTTCACTCGAGAACAGAGCGATTAATCTTAAAAATTAAGATGTCTTACATTCAAGTAAATATAGTATTATCAAATCAACTAACATCTGAACATTGTCAGCCAATTGCAGAGACAGAGTTTAAGTTAAATGGCGTTTAAAAGCCGAACAATGTCTAGATGTTGGCTGGCTGAACCACAGTTTAAAATGTGTTGCAAAGATGACGCTAGTCTATTTCTGAACGCCTTCTAAATGAATCTTGGAAAAATGTTGTCTATTACTTTCTTCGCTGTTACTCCCCTTTCTCAGGAGTTGTCGTTTAATCAATCAGGTCATTCATTTATGACGTCTGAAAAATGGCACTGAACGTGTTCAAATCATGCCGGAATTTTTCCAAAGAAGAAAAAGTGTCCTCGCAGAAATTATAAAAAATTATCTTGCAGTCGAGAAGAAAGGTTACAACAATCATATTCTAGGGGTGAAAAAAACTGCATGTGAGATGATACAGAATGAATTTTCTTCATCGTTTCCTTGTTGGCCTGTTCACAGCAAGATCTTATTCTTATTATAAAGTGTCTCTATCACTACAAAAAACTTTTAAAATTTATTTAATGGTAGTTTGATAGATACCTGCATACAGTAGAAACTTGAACTCCGATAAGGTCACTGGCTACCCTCTGGAAGCTTCCAATGGCGTAAAATTGTAATGCCGTCAACAACTGTTGTTGAGTAGTTAGTGGCAAACCTCTTCCATCTAGATTAGTGGTTCTCAACTGGGGTCCACTTAACATTACTAGTGTCCACAGAAAAAAAATTACCAAATTGGGGTTCACAGTGATATTTTAGTGGTCTATAGGGTAATTCTACTTCAGAACAATTGTTTTACTGAGAATTAAATTTCTACAGTGTGTATATATATAGTTAATTTCTTAACCCTTATGCAAGAAATGAGTAATAAAAATTTAAAATATTGAATATGTATATGACTTTATAATCTCTGACCTTTGTCAATGAGATATATATAAGCCGGGGTTTATTAGGAGAATCTTATACCATCAGTGTCATGTCATTTGACAGTGACATTTCTGAACATTAGGGAGGGAGGCTATAAACTGATTACCTTTATACTGGAAGGAGGCTATAATCAGTTTATTTTAACCCTAACCTTCAGTTCTGTGCAAAACTCCATCTTGACAAGGTAAGAGGTATTAAAAGTGCTAGTTCATAAATACAGTAGTTACTTTTTCTGAAATTCAGAGCCTCAGTATAAAATATTTTTCCAATTTGAAACAATGTCACAGGAAAAAACCTTATATTTTTTTCATTAATGTCTATGGGGACCACAAAAAAAAATTAAGAGGAAAGGGGTCCAAGGGTAAAAAAAAGGTTGTGAATCCCTGATTTAGATACTTAATTTTGTCACCAATACAATTTAAAATACGAATAAATCCAGATTTATAAATACCGAATTCAAAATTCGTCTTCAAAATAATCCTTTAAAAATGTATTCTGATCTTGTATTACCCTCTCTCTTCGTAATTGTCGGAAAGAATAATTTTCTTGATTCGTCCCGTTTACAATATTTAGTAAATGAACAATATCCATTTTAATTAACATAAACTTTATGACCAACAAATGAATATGGCGACTACTCAAGTAAAACAGTGTGTAAACCTGCTATCAAGGGACTCTAGAAAGTAGGTCAAATAACTTATTTCTAATCACTATCTAAACTGTGGCAAGTGAGAAACACCATCTCTGCAACAAAATTTTTCTGAACTGTGGTTGGCATCTAAACGTTTTGTCTCTGCAATCAGCCCAAAGAACTTTGCATTTGTTTACATCCTCACTCATAATTTGCAACAGATATTGAATCAAATTATATAAAGATTGTTTTTTAGTGTTTTAAATCATTAATTTATTGTCTTTCTTGGATTGTTTAATTTAAAATGCTGTTACTTTCAATTTAAGTAACTTAATTCAACAAACAAACATTGTAATTTATACTGTTTAATTCCTTAAATATTTAACATATGCAATAGAAGTTTTGTACAGTAAATTTTTCTTTATAAAATGGATAAACTAAAAAAAACTATTCAAATAATTTTTAGAAGTCTTCCATAAACACATTTGAGAGTACTGTATTTTTTTTTTAAGGTAGCAACTAGAATTTTTTAATTGTCAATCAATTTGAATGTTTTTATTCATACTGCTAATAAATTTCTAGATAACTAGACTATTAGAATTTTAATTTTTAAATTCTGATTAGGTCATTGCTTTTGATGAACTCAAATCTGACTACAAGAATCCCATTGATCAATGCAACAGCCTGAATCCTGTAAGTAATTTTTGTATTTTAGAAACATATTTATCAACTACTAATGTATTCAAAAATATTTCAGCTTGTTCTACCGGAATATTTCATTCACATTCTCTTCAACGTTTTGTTTTTGTTTGCCGGAGAATTTTTTACGTTGCTGATCAATCTTCCGTTAATAGCATACCACATAAACAGGTTAGTCGGTAAGAATGTATTGGGCATGTTTCCCGCAGTTTTATAACCATGCCGGCTATCATTTACACAGGTATCGCACCCGCCCTGTGATGAGTGGACCAGGTCTATACGATCCCACCACCATAATGAATGCGGATCAACTCAGTAGAGCTATGAAAGAGGGATGGATCAAATTGGGCTTCTATTTACTTTCTTTCTTTTACTATTTATATGGGTAAGAATATTTATTTATTTACTTGTTTTTTTTATTCTGACTGACTGATGTATTTTTTCCTCCTCCAGGATGGTTTATACTCTAATTACAACTTGAAGACAACAAACTATATATGTATATTTACCTAAATTAATTCTGCATGCTCAAATTTTTGAAGATTCTACAATATGTATATAAGTAACAGCCAGGTGCTTCAATTGTTTGAAGAAAATTTGTAATAAGTATTGCATAATTCATAAAGACTACTTTTATTTATCAGATACATAAAAGTTTGTTTTGTCGAGTTTAACCATATGCAATGATTTTACAGATTAACACAAATACGATTTAAATAATAATATACATAAAGTACTTTTGTTCGGATTCGAAAATCTCCCAAGCTAAAAAGTTTTTGAAGTGCTTGGGTAAAAAAAAAAGTGAGATTATTATATAAATAAATTGTTTTAAATTTTAATAACTGCATCAGTAACAGATCTGTGTGTGTATTTGATTTTAATTAAAAAGTATTCTGTACTCAAGTATCAAAAACAAATGGTTTGATAAATTTTGAAACTCTGCACCAAACTTTGCAGCTATGGAAAATCAAAAACTTAATGACTAAAAGTTTTAATTTTTTTGCATGCAGCTTTTACTCCACATTAACAAGGAACATGTTTTTTCACAATTTATAAATTTAAATGTACAATAATAATATCTACAATGTTCTCTACAGAAATAGCAACATATACATATAAATAACGACGTCGATTTTTACCGCACGGATAACGTTTTCCGAACCGTTCGGACACAAAAGGAACTTAATGTGTTTGGGGGACTCCAACTTCCGGATTGGCAATGACGCTTTTAAACCTTTTCAATGTGAGCCTAATTGTTAGGCATAAGAATTTGGTCCAAAACAATCTCATGAAATATTTCAACAGTGTATATAATATTTTAAAGCTTTTTGGACCGGTTGTTTTAAAATAATTACTAACTCAGATGTACTAATGAATTTCACAATAGCAAAGTGGTGACAATCAAAACGAAGTAGTTTAAGAGCATGTTGCAAAATTCGAATTCTGCGGATCGTTTATTCTGAACAGGTTAACGGGAAAATACTTGATGTGTGTCTGCCACTGCGACGTCAGCTGAAAAAATTTCACTCCTGTCCAGTCGACTCCATCAATTGTTACTACAATATTATTATTATTATTATTAATTCCAAAACACAATGACAAACTTTCACTGTAAGTTTAAACTGTTATTGCTGGTGTAAATCACAATTTACCTGTTAATGGAGTATGCACATTTCTCGACAGACAGACGAATCTATTTATGCTATCCACTACTATATATCTTCCTTCGGGATCTTTCTTTTTAGTCAGCATTTTTACTGAAAATTAGGTGTTGTAAGAATTTTTATACAAAAACAAAATTAGAGACAAGAGATTTAACTTACTTTTCTTCTTCTCTTTTGTGATGTAATTTAGTATTAGTGTGGAACTACTGGTTTCATTGGATGCCGGAAGACGCGACACCTGCATGGTGATAAATGTTGATTTAAGAGTAAACTTATTTTCCGGTTTTTTCCCCATTTCAGATCGGGGTGTGACCGTCCAATAGTCGATATGTAGATCCATCGCTTCTGTCGGTGGTTGAGAAGTTCTGCAAAAACAAAAATAATCTTAATTATAAATTGTTTTTTCAATTATTATTCAAAAATATATTTTTAAAAACTTGCATGTTTCCTACTGCAGTGGTGGACATGTTTGGCGAATTAGGCGGACTAGTGTTACCATGAGCAACTTTATCGATCGTGATTGTTGTCCCTGGTGGAGAGCTTCCAGGAACGACAACTCCTGGTTGTTCCTCTAAATCCACTGTAAGATTATTTAAAGATTTAGATATTGTAGGTTGCAACTAGCAGTTCATATTTCAAATTATAACAGTCACATAATCAGATGAATAAGTAATTCTGTAATTAATTAAATTTTCAATAATTCCATAAAATATAAATTAGACTGGGTCAAACTTCTGTGGCTTAGATTTTAATGTACAAGTTGATAAAATTTATCATTATTTTTATTGAAAAAACAAAGTTAAAGTATAGTATGATTAGCTGCATTTGAGAGGAAAAAATTGCACCCTATTTGATCTGACATTATAGATATTTTACTAAAATTATACAGCAAAATATGCAAAATACATTGTGATAACTACCAATGAACTATGCCCATAGAACAATTGCAAAGCTACTAAGTCTTATATAGGAACAAATGTCCTGTTATCTGTAGGCCATTAATAGCTGTGTCTACTTTATGATGATGATCTATGACGTGGGTAAGGATGTAAGTCTGGATCTGTGTCGAATAGCAGTAGATAGAAGTTACTTTTTTAAAATCTCTGAACAGAAAATTATCTAGGAATTGCAATTGTCAAAGATGTGTTTTTCTCTCTAGCATGTAATGAATTATCAAGGGATATTTGCCCAGCACAAGGTCTGAAGAGAATTGTCTTGCAATGTCACATTTCTGAAAACGTAGATGTATCTTCATTCACACACTGTCTGCCACTTTCAAGTATTGATACACGTGGAAGTGGCAAATAAAAAATGTGGAAGATGCATCTACAAGTAGGCATTTCACTGTCAAATGAACACCACTGCATCAAAAGATTAAAGTTGATTTCTTGCTGCGTAGAATCTAATTTCTCAATGGGGTAGCTAAACAACAAAGGGCCTTATGAGCCAGATCTTATAAACTATATAGTAAAGACCTTTTTTCCCATTGCTCAAATTAGGTTAAACAAATCCATATTTAGTTCAACTTTTATACCTTTGTGTCCTTAACTTATGTATTTATGCTTAAATTGTCAACTAGGACTTATTATACTGGATAACTGGTTCTGCAAGTTAAATAAAAGACTGTTTTTTCTGATTTGATTATTTAACTTGCAGAACCAGTTATCCAGTATAATAAGTCCTAGTTGACAATTTAAGCATAAATACATAAGTTANTTGTCAACTAGGACTTATTATACTGGATAACTGGTTCTGCAAGTTAAATAAAAGACTGTTTTTTCTGATTTGATTATTTAACTTGCAGAACCAGTTATCCAGTATAATAAGTCCTAGTTGACAATTTAAGCATAAATATATAGAGTCCATATTTAGTGTTTGGGTAACTTTTTCCAATATTGCCATAACAAACTAAAGAAGAAAAAACAATCTGTGCAGAAAACACCTTTGATAATGGTGTTGGCAAAGTACATATCTGATCTGCCATGGAACAATAAAAAACAGAGTACATCAAAATTGTCAAAGATAATCTTGGCATTTCACATCAAACTACTCAGGAAAAAAGGGGGGCCAGTATTTCAATATTACAATGCCAGGCCACAAATAGTAAAATATGCAGATGTTCTTCCTTGGTCACCTAGTAGTATGGATTTATTGCCTTTATGTGTGAAGAATTTTGAAAAGAAAATGCAACAACAACTAAGTACCACCGATCAAGTAGAGGCTATAATTAAGGAGGAACGAGCCAATAGATAAACTGGCTATATGTAATTAAAAATAAAGGTGATGTACCAGTAACTAACTGGTAGAACATTAAAAAGGTTTGTTACGGTGGAGCTACCTGTAGGTTTTTTGTATAACTTTTGCAATTCAATAGTAAAATAAATGAACAAACAAACTATAAGACTGCTATTATGAAAAATATAATCTCTTACAAAAGATGCTTGTAAATTTACGCTTTGTAAATTTGTATCAAATATTTTTGAACTTATCCAATCATCAGAAAACAATAAGTCTTTCTTCACAGAGACAACCTTTTATTGTAAGTTATGCCTCTGCTGAATTATGCATTAAAATTGTGTATATATATATTTAAATATATACACAATTTTAATGCATAATTCAACAATTTAGTTTCTTCAAATTTTTAATTTCTGGAAAAAATACTGTCAGTCATTTTAATTAAAATTGACAAAAGTTGAGAGATCCTATATAATATTTAAATTGGATAGTGAACAGTAAAAAATAACAATTGTTTTTAACATGACCATATGCCAGTCACAATTAGTTCATTTTGCTTCTGCAGAAAAAAAATAATTTTGGCAAATTTGATATCATTACCAAATTTGCTAAAAGGTTCAGACTGACATGACAAAATATAGTTGTCACCTGCCAATGAATTTTGTTTAAATTATGCAGAAAAATTGATCTAGAAATAATAATTCAAATCATTTATTTGCCTGAAATGGTGGAAATGGAAGAAGAAAAAAAATTTGTTATGTAGCTACACGAGTAATGACTCGTGTGAAACTCAGCAGTATAAAGGTCTAAGTCAACTAAAGCACTTAAGGATATAGATAAATTTTGTAATTTGTAATTTAACTTCAGACAGGCTTAAAGAAATCTGGTTGAGGAAACAGTAATCAATAATCCTATGATCTATAACATTAGCCAAAAAGAACTCTGCACGTTCATTAATGAACTTTTTTATGATAATTGTATTACTGTGAACCATTTGTTCAAGGATAATAGAACTGGATGGGATGGGAAACTAATAAATAATTTTCACTCACACAATTATGAAAAATTATATCACATGGAGAAATTACACAATACTTCATATGCAATTATTGTATATGAAGTATTGTGTAATTCTAACTTTTTATCTTACATCTGATTGCCACAGGAAAGACACCTATGATTTAGTTTATTTGTGAAGGAGATGAAATCTTTTATTTCAGAAACATTTATGGGATTAATGGGAAATAAAAATAGAACAGATTGATCTATCAAACAATCCTATCAACAGTCTATAAGGACAAAGTGGACAAACTGAAATCTGTGTGAGGGACGAACAGACCCACAATAAAGTGTTATTTTACATTTTAATTATTGGAAAATATAATTGGTTAAATTCGAACGTTTTATCGAGTTAGGCTAAAAGCCATAAAAATTATTTCCCACGGGGTTTGTTCCTTGTTGAGACGGATCAAGTTAGTCAGGGATGTGTCACCAGAACTTTGAATGGAAAAGACATATTGGACGGGCAACCATTAAAGGGCCATCACCTGACCTCATGGAAAAAACCCAAGAGGAATGAAAAAGGGAAAAAGAAAAACGACCCCGAGGTCAGTCGTCATCCGAAGTCCCTCTACAAAAGTCATCCTCCAGGATTAAAACCGTGACCCAGGATAAAACCCGTGCACCAAAATCCCGAAATAACACCGTGTCTCCTTAAGAATCTCACCCCACTTCCGTGCTTCCACACATCCGAGATCCAATTAACGGACAAGAACAAGGGGAAAGACCATTTCAGAGGAGTCAAGAGTGTCATCATACTACAGATCTGCGACCTAGGAAAAAGAAAGGTATTTATCAACCCGCGATTCGGTTGTAAACTCTCTCTCTCGAACGGAATAGTATAATTAAGTCCGCTAATATGCCGATATCTGTATTTTCTTTGTTTATTATTAAAATTGATTTTTTGTTAGAAAATATGGAGTCCGAGTGAGTCACTTCCTCGTCTCTCTCCTCACCTCTACTCCGAATCCAAGCGCTCACACGCTACCGCTCGCGAATCTCGTGACATAAAGTCGCGATTTCCGAGTCCCCTAGAGACTCGGTGGTGTCATCCTGACAGGGCGCCGAAGAGGTGCCGACCCTATGGTCACAGTACTTGGAAAGAAATTAATCTCAAATGTTACAAAATCTGATGAATCCTTCTATTTGGCATAGTCTTTATGTTCTTAAAAAAAAGGTGGATTTATAATAATAAGTTGCATTGCATAAATATATCACTGTTTCAGAATATAAACTTTGAGATATTTCATATGCATAGATGCAATTAAAATGATATGTACAGTACAGTGTGTTTTAATTACTAAAAGGCAGAATAAGTAAGCACTTTTTTAGTGAATGACAAATCATCAAAAGATCGCTTTGTTATCATTGAAAGACTAGATCAAACTGTCAAAAGAAATTTACACTGTCAGAATTTTGGGCTACATTTACTAGTCAGTTTAATTTAAAGATATATTGATATTAACCCAAATTAATCAAATATGGATAGCTGAACAAAATAAGAATCTACAGTATACATATACTGAAATAGCATTTGTAAAATAATCAAAATATCACTTTTTCAAAAACAAATTGTTTATTTAAGCAAATTTTTTTTTGATTCACTTACTCAGACCATATCTGGTTTAATAGTCAGTTTGTGTATCGTAAATATCAAGTGCAGATTAGCAATATTCATCACATTTATGTATTGTTCAATTATCACCCAAATTCAATTCCTGCTGGTCTCACTTGAGTGTAGGCTGACATCTTAACTGCTCAGCCATCTGGCCATCCCATATTTGGACTCAAAACAGAAGGATTAAAATTTATCCATTTTCCCTTGAAAATGTTGAGTGAAACAAAATCATCTCTTTAATTTATTAATTTATATATTTATAGAGAATTATAATTTAGTAATGTAAACATTTTTATTACAGGCAAATTGCATGTAATAAAAAGTTTTACATTCTTACTTCACAAATATACTTTTGTTAAATAATTTCTTGGAAGTTATAAAATGTTAAATTTTTCAAACAGTAGCATTTTGTTCTCTGTGTATGATATTATCATCTGAAGAAGACAATTATAAACTGTCAAAAGTTCTAGCATAGATAAATCTTTTCTGTAATGTGTTGATAATTTTGTAATTTCTTGGAAATTGAAATAATATTTATATTTATAAATACACATAAATAAACACTCATATTCATTCAATTTTATTTTTGAATACTAATCTAATGACTACAAGATAAAAAAAATCCAGCAACGAGTTGCTTAACTTTCCCGGCAACATTTAAAACTGCATATGATGCCATTTGTTATATTTTATTATTAAAAACTTTTTATATTTTTAATTATTATAAAATGGCAAAAAGCTTAATTTTGAGGATAGAGATGGGTTTTATAACAAATTGTAAATGCTAATAAGTAAAATTGTCATTAAGTCCGATCCTACTCAAGATAGGACACACGACTCCCCTTTATCTCCCCACCTGTCAACCTTTAATCACCAAAATTTAATAGTATTAATCCCCCTAATACACAAACCTCCCTGTAAAATTTCAGAAATTTTTGACAAAAAAACACAGGAGTTATAGCTTCAAACATGGTAAACAAAATTGTGCCTCCCTCCACAAATCCATACACATACATACAGAAAAAAACCCCAAATTTTTTTGTATTTCTTGACACTTCATGCAATCATGGTCCTAATGCATGAATGTAAAAATTTTGAAGGGTCATTTTTTGACCAATTGCCATACTTTCCTTCTATTATATACAACAGAGCCAGAAAAGTAAAAATTATATATATTAGTCATTAAAAACTGTGACTCTTCTATAAATGATATCTAAAGTAGTCACTTCTGTTTCAGTAGATCCAATGCTGATTCTATGGGGGTTACTCAATGAACTACTCAAAAAATTTCATGTTTGTGGGAAGACTGTGCATAGAAATTTTTATAATAAGGATTGAGTCTATGTGGCAATTTATTATTCTTTATTACAAAAACTAATACAAGGCAATGCCAATTAGGCAAAATGGGCCTCTCCCACAAATAATTAGAATGAAATATATAAATATGCACATACCTGAAGTTGTTTGAGAGCCTTCCATAATTCCAATATTTACATCCTATTTAAAGAAATTTTTTGTAAACTTACATTTATAATTATTTTTTTTTAATAAAAATATAATTAAAAGTTTAGAAAATCAGACAATTTTTGATACAACTTTTCATAACATAGTGGTACTCACAATGATTAATTTTAATTGTAAGGCTTGAAATATCAAAATCATTAAAGTACAACTCCTTTTCAAAAGTTTAGAAATTTTGTCATTAAAAGTATTATATTAATATTTACAAATGAAATACTATTTATATATACAGAAATCTAACTTTCTATTTATTTCCTTTATTAGACATCTAAATAAGTTACAAAATGCATCAAAAGTTTTAACTTAAAACATTTATTTTAATCACAAACATTCATTAAATGAATCATACTTGTTTCTTAAATTTAGAAAAGCAATAATATACAGATTACTTTATGTATTTTGTTTAGTAATTTTGTGATGAACACTTTCTGTTGTGGTTCTTATTTCATTATGGGCAAATCTAAGTAGCTAACAAAGAAAGAAAAAATTAAGATTTCTGAACAAAGGTGACTGAGTAAATCAATAGAAGATATTGCCAAAGATCAGCTCTTTCAAAATGTTTGAAACAAATATATGAAGACAATGAAATCATAACCCAACAACATTAACAGGTAGGACAAAAACAAACAAATGTGGTGTGTTGTGGTCTTTGTGAAGTGATACATCCCCACACCATGACTTTTGTTAGGAACTTACTATCTAAGAGCTTCTTATCTCAAAAATTGCTGAAAACTAAATTTCTTAAACTATATAGATATTTGTTGTAGATCAAATTTGCAGGGGAATGTACACTAATTAGAATTTACAATATTAACTGTTCAAGATTTATGTCCACCCACAATGCACAGTATAACAAGAATTCACTACAAACAGACCCAAATTAATATAATTTAAGTAGCATTACAAAACATTTTAATTATATAATACCAATTAAACGATTCTTACTTACAGTAGCTCAGTATTGAGCTACTGTAAGTGAGAATCTTTCAACTGGTAGTGAATTCTTGTTGTACTGTGCATTGCAGGTGACGTAAATCTTGAACAGGTATGTTTATATTGTAAATACTAATTTATGTGCTACATTCCCCTGTGAATTCAATCTACAACAGATATCTATATATTTATGTGTGGCTGATGAGGGTCTTTTGTACCGAAATGCACACCAGTAATAGAGTTACATTCTGATGATAGTAGTGCCATTTTGATGTTTCCAGTAGTAGTGTGATAAGTTTCTGTTATCTCTACTACAGTATTGAGATTTAGTTTTCAACTTACATACTGTTTTATACAGCTAGGCCGAAATTCCCCACCCTTTCTTCTACATGGCCTTTGATCTCTAAAATTAAGACAAAAAAACGGATTCACATCCATTTTTCCAATCTTCATCACTCCAAGTGAGATGATCCTTTGCCCACTAAACTTTAACTCTTTTTTTGTTAAATGAGGTTTAATCTTTGGAACTCTTGAATGGAATCTTGTAATCTATGCCTAGTAATTGTTCTTGATATATTTTTATTAATTTTTTTGGTAAACAAAATATGTAATCTGCATATTATTGCATTTCTAAATTTATGAAACAAGTATGGTTCATGTAATAAATATTTTTGTGATTAAAATAAATGTTTTAAGTTAAAACTTTTGATGCATTTTGTACTTATTTATTTGTTTAATTAAGGAAATAAATAGAAAGTTAGATTTCTGTATATATAAATAGTATTTCACTTGTAAATAGCATCATCATATTTTTAATGACAAAATTTCTAAACTTTGAAAAGAAGTTATAATAGTGATTATTATAAGTTTCATTGTTTTTTAATTGGTATTTAACTCAGAACTTCTAAGAAATTTTTTTAAAAACTTGATAAACACACCATCTAGCAGTCTGAAGTCCAAATGAGAGGGAAATTCAGAATGCCCATGATGAGTTTACTCCAAAACTCACAAATTTAATGAGATTCCCAGAGAAAAAAAAATTTTTTTTTAATCAATGCTAAAAAACAACAAGTGATAGTTGCAATCATCTCAGCTATGCTGATAAATTCTAATCACTTCCCTAAAATAAATTTATTGTCATAAAAAGATATATACTTCAATAGAAGTATCTTTTTATGACAATAAATAGAAGTATAGAAGTATATATTTTCATTAATGGAATGCCAATTTATAAGCAAATACAAGATCAATGTATCTTGTGTTTGTATAGGTTATAGAACATGTCCTATAACCAATGTATTCATGTATTCCATAAACGAAAAGAAACTTCTATTGCAGATGACAATACATTTAGTTTGGGAAGATGATTAAAATTTATCAGCATAGCTGAGATGATTTCAACTGTTAACTCTGTTTGAAAATGCACTATGTACTGTACAGTACATACTATGCAAGACTATTATAATGCATTTTGAAAGATGAAATCAAGTAGATTTAGTAATAGATCATCTTTTACTCTAATAATTCATAAATATTTTGATTTAATTTAAAAATCTGTATACTTTGAAGAATAATCTAATCTAGTCTTTCTCAACCTAGGCCAAAAACCTATCATTGGGCCACATCACAAACATGATTCAACTTTTCAATAGGCAATAGTGACAACAAAATCTGGTGGTAGTCATGCTATGCTACAGCTTAAGAATTTAATTACTTAAAGATTTTTATGCTGTCTTTTATGGTGTGTGTGTGTGAATTGAAGATAAGAACAGGCAAAACCTTCTCTACTTTCCTCTACTATCCTTCAGACTAGTCACTGGAATATACAGTAGTTGTGTGCATCAATAGTGACCAAGTGCATTTGGAAAAGACATATAAGATTGACTGCTAGTGCTAATTGTGTTCCTGTGGTTAGAAAGAATGTAAGACAGCAAATTTTATTTGCATTTAGACTTCAATTTATATTATTTTTATATGTGTATATTTTATTGTTGAATTTTTTGTTTTGATGGAAGATATGTATTTTAGGAGAACATACATTGGTTCTGTTCTGTATGTTTATAAAAATCAAAGAAATATGGTAATGGAAAAAAATGAGAAAGCCATAAAAGTTAAGGAAAGCTCAAAGGAAACTGCAGCCAAAAAAAAGTCATGATGGCTGATCTAATCCATTCATCCTTAACCTGCAGTCAGTGAATCTCCAGGGATACTTGAGATTTACTCTGAGTCTGAATGTGTCACAGGATTATTTTTTCTCAGTTTACAAAAATTAATGAAATAATAAATAAGTAAATTCATGATTTGCTTTCAATATGGGCTTATATTCAAATCATGCATGTGCTTTTTTTTACTTTTATCTCCAAAACTTCTTTGATTCCAACTCTGATAAAATTTTTGAAAGCTTTATCTAATTTTTACTAGACTACATGATAATTTCCATAATTATTTTTCCAGTTTCAGACAGAAGTAAAAATTGAATCTGCAATCTTTTCATAATGAATAGTAACAAAATGAATACAAGTCTTCTCTTACTGTAAGAGAAGAAAACATCTTTATAGAAATCTCTGCCTGTAGTATATTGAAATATCAGTTCAATTCAAATTATTTTTTTAAATTTTTTTTTGAAGTGATCATCAAGAATTATAAAACAAAAGCTATGAAAATTTTAATATACCATTCCCCAACATTTATTTATACGAAAATCTAGTTTATATTAAAAATAAATATAGCAATCAATTAAAAAATGTTAAATTGGAATTTAGAATTAACCTGTATGGCATTTAACTAGAGAATTTTCAAAAGCTTGTTTCAAAGATTCAGCAATAACCTTCATATTAAAATATATAAATATATTGAAGCTACAAAAATATCATTTATTTATTTATGTTTCATTAAATTTACAGGAAAAGTATAGATAGACATTTGATTTCTGCACCCTACAAAAACATATATCATAAGAACAAACAACATCCCTTAAAACAAATAAAATAAAATAAAAATAGATAATAAATCTTAAAAGAAATACAGTGCTTTTTTACATTTCAATTTACAATCAAGGAGATCAAGACGTAAAAATTCATCAAAATTATTAAGGTTTTGTGTCATAGACTAGAAGAAAGATCGTTGGGATAGATTTAGACAATAAAAAGGAGTAAAAACGTAAGTACAGTAGAGCGTCGTTTATCCGAAGGAATTCCAGTCGACAAATTTAAATTTTCGCCAGTGCTGTGGCACTGTAATCTTTGGCTATGTCTTCGGCTACTCAAATATTTTACGTTTTTGATACTAAATTAACTTCTGAAGTATAATTTTTTATTGTTTTTATATTTTTCAATATATTTATTTTCTTTGTACAAAATAAAAAAAATAATTTTTAACGATACAATAGTCTTCATTAGGCTTAACATCGATGAAAATTCAACGTGAAGCGACACGCAACGGAGAAAAATTTCAACACAGGATAAATTAATATATTTTTTCGTACATAATTGGTTATCTGAAAAATAAGTTATCCGAACAACCCCAGTCCCCAATTGATTCAGATAAATGACGCTCTACTGTAAAACAAAGTTTTCTTGGTGGAATTTGAAGTGAAAGCCAATCTTGATAAATAAGACCAAAAAAATATTTGTAATATATTAACCGATCAAAATATTTAATTTTCCCAAAGAAAGATGGGAAGCCCAGGCAAATTCTAGTTATATTAGAGTCAATAGTGAAAGACAGATTCAATATATTTAACAAAATGTGTAAAGGAAAGATCAAATATCTTCATTCTCCATTGTTCACAAACACCAGTGACAGTCCAAAATGATTGAGAATTATGGAGATAACCTTTTATTTTTGCAGAGGCACAGTCTCAAATAAAAAGTTATCTCCATAAGTGAAAATTGTTTTGGACTGTCACTGGTGTTTGTGAACAATGGAGAATGAAGATATTTTTGAAGCTTCACTATATTTATATATTTTGTATTTTAACATAAATACTGTCAGCCAAATTTTTAATGTTAACCATCTTATTAATTTATGAACAAATTTTAAACTAAGCTTTTGTATTTTTTTTTCTACATTTTCATTAATGATATAATACTATGTGGATGTGTTATATTGTTTAATATTTCTGACTCTTCATAATAAATATTTGGAATTTCAATACAGTACTGATTTTTTATTTTAGCTTGTTATTCAAACAATAATTCTCAAAATTTCTAGAGGAACCACAATTTCCAGACTATTTGAATGGGGATTTATAAAAGCCTACAACTGTTTTTCTTAATTTTTATTACATAAGATAACAACAAAAACAAAAATTTGCACTTTGTCATGTCCTAATGACAAAGTGCAAATTTTTGTTTTATATATATTGGTTGTTTTATAAAATATAGCAATTTACAATACATAGGTAAAGTAAAAATAATATTTAAATCAAAATAATAAATTAAAAAGAAAAATATACTTAGAAAAGTTAAGAAAAATAAAAAAGAAATTAATGTACTGTTGTCATTCTCAATAGATGAAATAAAAAAGTTACTAATAAATATTTAGAAAAATAACCACTTTTTAAAGTATTCCATCCTTGTTCATTTATTGTTTACTAATAACTTATTGCATTAAAAATGTTGGATTTTAAACTGTTTTATTTTAATTTAATATATTTTTATCTTTTTGTAAATACAGTGAACCCTCCATTAATGGACACTCCTCTACTTAACAGACATTTTACAATCCCCAGACCCTTCAAATAGGATGTCTATATTTACCTGTAAACAGTGGACACTGTTGTCCATAACCTATCTTACAAAAACAAAAAGTCTCACTTTCCATATTCTGAAAGAATTAATTACATACAAAATATTTTAAATCTAATACAAAGAATTGGTTCAGAGGACGAATTTTGACTATAGGCATCAAATAAAGACTGGCTTAAAATAGGAATAATAGGGGAGGGCAGATTGTAAAAAGCCAAACAATATTCTTTATCTGTTAGAGAAGACTAATCTGGTTATTTTGTCAATCACCATTTATCGTCATACATATTAATGTTGTTAAACTTGTGTCTTGTTATTGAAATTAACCTATTCGATGTTGAAATTTTTATTTGTTGCTTGTGATGCCATGATGAATTTTCGTCAATGTTAAGCCTAAAGTTTTTTTTTTTAAAATAATAATTGTGTTTACAGTATCGTAAAAAATTATTTTTTTATGTTTCACAAACAAAATAAATATATTGAATAATATAGAAACAAAAAAAATTATATTTTAAAAGTTTGTTTTAATATAAAAATTGTGATGCAATAGCAACATCTAGTATCAAAAACGTTCCAATGTAAACACAAAAATATTCGGGATTGCTCATGTAGGTCAATGAGGTCAACACGAATATCTTCGGGAACAATGAAGGACAGGTTAATCTTATGGTACCAAGAAACCATAAACTTTTTCAAAGTTATTCATTCATTTGACAAGAACCATAGCACAGTAGTAATGAAAATGAAACAGTTTTAAGGTTAAGACAATGGTGTTTATTTGGTGAGTTTAAAAATCGTGTTATGAAGGCAATTTGCCAACCATTTTAAAATGTACAAAGATACTAGATTTTCTGGCATTTATGATGTAATTTATGATCTTAATAGCTTTGTGGTGGCTGAAGTAATTTTTAATAAATCATTTATTGAAAAAAGCAAAAATGTTCAACAAAATTACACCTATTCAATAACTACAAAGCAGACAAATCCCTATATTAATTTTTATTAGTTGCTTAGATCATAAATGATGTTATAAATGCAAGAATATGAATATCAAACACATTTCCCACCCCTTGAAGTGGCTAGCAAATTGCCTTTGTAACTTGACATTCAAACTCTTCGTCTAAACTGACTTTTTTCCACTCTTCTGTTCATAATAACAGTTTCATTTTTTTTTCCATTACTTCTGTTCATGTCGTTTTTGATGAATTAATAATTAATCAATGTTTATGTTTTGTTGTAATTTTTATGTTCCATTTAATTAAAGTATCCTATACAATCTGTTTGCTATTTAGAATTCAATTAAAATGTGATTTTTTACAGCTAAAAAGATAAATAATATGATGTATATATATATTTTAATTATATATGCTATGTATACTTTTTGGTATTTTCACATTCCTAATGCAAATTTGATGTTCTTGTAATCCATCGTATTCTTCACTTTATAATGATCAGGTTAAAATACAATAAGGATGCTGGCATATACCTCTAAATAGCAGACAAACTTCTCAGTCCCGACGATATCCACTATTCAGAGGTTATACTGTATTTTATTATCTTTAATAGTGTTATGGTTTTCTTTCACAATCGATTTTGATTTGACTACACTAAACTGATTCTTTAATCATACATAACCATTATTTATATTACAAATCTTTAAAATTAATTGTGCCATTTATGTGCACTAAATAACAACTTTATTTTTGGATGCTTTAATGAAAAATATAATTTTTAATATTAAATTAAATTAAGAAATAATACTAAGTTTTACTGAGCCTAATTTAGACTATTAAGAAGTTTAACAAATATATTTTCAATACTTACAGTGACAAAAGGAATAAATGTTGGTGAGGAATCATCTTCTGAGCTAGAAATGAATTTTAAAAACTTTAATTTATACATGCAATGCAATATGTTATACATACAAAACACTCAATAAAAATGAACCTTATATTTACCTTCTATCTTTAAATGTGATCATTGCCTCCGCTATGGGTAATTGCAATAATGAGTTGGCACATGTTAAATAATTTAAAATTCTACTAACAGCTTGCTCTGCATCTGGTCCTGAAGCTGATTCAAAATTGCAATTATCAAGAATATCTTTCCATGACTGTTCTACAAAATTATCTTCATAATCATCATCAACACTAGCAAAATACTTTCCTAGTCTACCAATTCCTGAAATTACATATAGAAAACTAATCAGTAAAAAAATAAATATTTGCTATTTTTGTTATAAAAATGAATATACATTAAATAAGCATCTCATACCTAAAGGAACTATAAAAAATCTAATATAATTTTGCCATTCTGGAGGTCTGGTAGAAAATAATTCCACATACAGGCGAACCACTGAATTCACAAAACTATCCTGTCCTAACACTCCAATCCTTATTGTTGATGGAGCTCTTGAATTGCAGTAGCAACTATTATTTATATTAGAATTTAATTATCACAATTTTGAAATAATAAAAATATTCAATGAAAAACAAAATTAGGTTATTACAATTTTTGTATTTTATTGACTAAACAAACTAAAGAAGCACGCAAGTCAGCAAATGAAGCAGTTGCAACCACACACTGTTGTCTCTCTTGAAGTAACCGTGCTAGACAGAGACCAATTCCATCCAATACACTCACAAGCAGAAAATGTTCAGGTATAGTTTCATCTGATGGAAATATTTTTGCTAGTTGTTCTAATACTATTTTACGTGGCTAAAAATACAAAAATTATTGTACTGTTGTCATTCTCAATAGATGAAATAAAAAAGTTACTAATAAATATTTAGAAAAATAACCACTTTTTAAAGTATTCCATCCTTGTTCATTTATTGTTTACTAATAACTTATTGCATTAAAAATGTTGGATTTTAAACTGTTTTATTTTAATTTAATATATTTTTATCTTTTTGTAAATACAGTGAACCCTCCATTAATGGACACTCCTCTACTTAACAGACATTTTACAATCCCCAGACCCTTCAAATAGGATGTCTATATTTACCTGTAAACAGTGGACACTGTTGTCCATAACCTATCTTACAAAAACAAAAAGTCTCACTTTCCATATTCTGAAAGAATTAATTACATACAAAATATTTTAAATCTAATACAAAGAATTGGTTCAGAGGACGAATTTTGACTATAGGCATCAAATAAAGACTGGCTTAAAATAGGAATAATAGGGGAGGGCAGATTGTAAAAAGCCAAACAATATTCTTTATCTGTTAGAGAAGACTAATCTGGTTATTTTGTCAATCACCATTTATCGTCATACATATTAATGTTGTTAAACTTGTGTCTTGTTATTGAAATTAACCTATTCGATGTTGAAATTTTTATTTGTTGCTTGTGATGCCATGNAAGCCTTAATCCTGTCCCTCTCCCCTGCGGGGGAATTTTGAAAAATCCCTTCTTAGTGTACATTTTCATGACGTACCCTAACTGTGTACCAAATTTCACCTCTTTAGGTTCAGCGGTTTGCTCTGGGCGATGATGAATCAGTCATTCAGTCAGTCAGTCAGGACAAGTAATTTTATATATTTAGATTTATCCATGTTCATTCATTTTAATTGACTATCCCCATACTTATGTATTTTCCTATATAATTATAAAACCATTTTGTTAATCAAATCTGACATTTCCTAATTGTTTTGCTTTCAAAATTTTTTACAATATGTTGGCCAAATAGTCTCCAATTTTCATTTGTATACCCATTTTAGTTATGTTTTTAATGACAACTTTTCATCAATAATGAGTTATCCAGGAAGTTCAAAAAACTGATTTTTTTAATTACTAAATAATACAAATTAAAAATTTATTGTACAATAGGTAATCAAGAATACATCATGCTTGCTTCCTTACTCTCCTGGCTCATTAGCCAATTAGTTGAAAAATATTTAATAGCAAAAGTTGAAAAATAATTATAAAGTCAGAGAGCTCAAGTACTGAAAGTAATTTTACAGATACATAAACTGGTCAGATTTTTTTTCACACAAAAAATTCTATAGGCTGAATGGACAGTTTGCAAATTGCAAACTAGTAATATACACATTAGTTAGTTTATTCTCATCTTTTATTGATCAAATTTAGTTTAAATGTTCTTTGTCACAAATATCACCTTAATAAGTGTTGCATAATGGCACAAGGCAGAAAACAAAAAAATAAAATTATGTTGCCAAAGCAGGTTGCTTAGGGCTGTTTTAAACATATACTCAAATCATTAGCATTTATTATATTAGTAGCAAGTGTACTGATAGTTATGGAGTATGTTGGAATCAGTAGGCTTAAGCCTGCAATTCTAAGAAAAAAATATATGCAGTCCCAGCAGAAGCCTAGAAAGTTCCTTTCCAGTCCACGTCCTAAAAATTGTTGATCATCACTGCCTTAAAACATTTGCTCTGATATCAGAAGGAAGCTTGCTATTTCAAGGTAGAATTGTTACATAATAAAATGTGCTTTTATCATCAACCAGAAAGCAAATGATAAAGTAGCCAATGGAAGCATATGTTGTCTTTGTTGCCAAAGAAGTCAAAGGGAATGTAGACAAAATTCACAGAAAGTCATGTTGACCTTCTTTTTGACTGCAAGGGCCTACTGTTAATTGGGTTCCTTGCACATGGAAATACCATAAATGCTGCTTTATGAGAAAAATTCTGAAATCTTTGAACATCAATTATCAAGTCCAAACAAGCTAGACTGATCACCACAGAAGTCATTGGTCTGCGATTTAAAAAAATTGTAGACCCACTGTCATCCATCTTTCCTTAATTTCAAGAACAAGGTTAGATAGATAAAAGAGACCAGATATGAAAGATTAGGAGCAGGAGGTCCCGATTAACTATATACAAACTTCTGGTGCAAACTGGAAGTCACATTATTTCAATTAAAAATTCTCTCTCTCAAAGGAGTTACACGACTGGCATGACTCCATTGTTAAAGAAAAGTATGATGTATAGGGGCAAGCCACTACTAATTTGAGATAGGGAGCATATATTTTAAAATGAAATAAATTAAAAATACGATTAAAAATTGCAGCCTGGCATTGTGACAATGTCACAATAAATAATTGCTCATTCTTCTTCATAATAATTTTCAGTGTGGGGAGTGGGCATTGGTCAAGGATTGCCTGTCCAAATTCAATTGGTAAACACTGCAGTATCTGATATACAGTCTAAATTTGTCTCCTATGACTTTCATAGTTTTAGGAAGTTGAAGAAGCCTCTTCAGGGTCACAGATTTCACTCACTCAGATAAAGTGCTGCAGGATGCAATTCAGAAGTGATTTTTGTCAGCAATCCACCAACTTCTACATAAGAGAAGTCAAACATCTGATGCAATGATGGAATAAGTACTTTATAAGCTGTGAGATTATTTTTAAGGTGAGTTACAATTATATTGTTAATATGCCATTTTGTTCATTTTCAATTTTATCACCCTTATAGACTCATTCTTGTAATTGTGCATAACAGCAACCAACAAAGAAATGTACTGTACTATAATTGCTATTAAATTTAAAAATCAGCACAAACTTCCTGGACAATACATCAATCTACCATGATTCATTTATTGATAACTTGCAAGACATCGTGGACATCATAATTTCAATACATTCATAATGAAACCCTTTCTAGTTTTAAATTGTTAAAAAAAAATAGAGAATAATTAGTTTTTGTTTTTATAGCTGACAGATTCAAATGTATAGAAATTACTTTTATTTATAATTTTTTCAGTCTAATAATAATGATTAATTTATAGTTTCACAGTCTAAAACTTAACTGACAATAGCACCCATAGACCACACCTCTATCAATTGAGCTGCCAATAGATCTAAACTAAAACTTAGTCCCAGATAATGTTAAATTTTAATCATCATGGTTTTTGACTTAAAATATAGCTAATAAGTTATAAATACAATTTAAACCACTCTATTTTCCCAATTATTACAAGTTGATTACAAGATGAGTAAAGTTACAAGATGGTTATTGGATAAAATTATAATTCAATTTTGAATATAAGACAATTGTTTGTGTTTTTAAAAAGCTATTAGAAAATATGACTGTGTTATTAGTATATGAAAAATCATATTAATCATTTAAAAAAAAAACGTTTTTCTTCTTTTGGTTTTTCCCCTTTTCAATGAATTCTTAAAATAAACAGGAACATTTAAAAATAATATTGCTAAGATGCATTACAGAAAATAAAATATATTTGTTTTTAATTAATTAAAATATTATAGTTTAAAAGTAATATGTAAAAAATATTGTTAGTAAACAATTTATTCTGAAAAATGAGACCACCAGAAAAATCAATCCATCTGCATTAATTAAAAAGTTTTTAAATATAATAATTCTTACACTGCTCTCAGTATCCCTTGGTGTTAAAACTTTCTCTGTACCACTTTTATCTTTACTTTCTTTAATACTAGATTTTTCTTTGGATGTAGAAGTACTTTTTTCTCGAGCAAACAATTTGCTTCTAGTAGAATGAACTGACGTTGTTGAATTTCTAGGTGGACTACTTACAACACTATCTGGATGTTCTTGATCTGTACCAGATTCCTACAAACATTATAAATAAAATAAAAAAGAAGAGTGATTTTAAAAATATGCAACAGAATACAGTCACAAAAATAAATAATATATAAAAATTTTACTATTACCTGAAAATTATCACCTTCAGCTTTTCTTAACGAATCTTCATGTAATTCCGAAATAATCTGAAATATAGGCACAAAACTGAAAAATATTGTGATTACTATAAAATACTAAAAATTTTAATCTTTGGCAGTAGCATAAAAATGCATAATATAAATACATTGAATGAGATATGTGACTTACTTTATTCTTATCACTTTGTGTTAATGTACCAGATGAAAAAAAAGGCCTAAAACAAATTTCAATTTTATAATTTAATATTTGGTATGCAAATATATTTTAAAAAATCACTTCCAAAATAATACCTTAAACCAGGTTTGGGTGCTGAAGATATGCTAGCGTCATCATCCATATCTGGTTCACTGTCTGTTACATCTTCTGATTCATCAAAAAGATCTCTCATGTTTTTAGGATCATGTTCTGGAATAACATCATACCCTTGTCCAAAACTCTGAAATTAATTTTGTTTTTTTTTTTAATTTTTATTCTATAATAACCATATAGCATCAATAAACTTAATAGATTAAAAATATTTTCAGGCATAACTTACTTCTGTTTCAGGAACTCTAAATTTTTTTAACAGAGCAGCAAATTTCTGTTTGATGTTACGCTAAAACAATATAACAAATTGACAATAACTATAAAATAAAAAATTCCTTATGATCATAAAATATTTCAAAATAGTAATCATACATCTGAGGTATCAGATCGAGATTCTGAACTTTGTGGATTTAAAAATTTTTGAAAATGAGATCGTCTCCTCCCATTTTGTGCACTATGAGCAGAAACTGCAACTCTGGTTGGTTCACTGTCACATCCTTCTTCATTTGAGCTATATTCTTCATCAGTAAAATTATCAACTTCTGCAACTCTCTGTGAATCTAAAATCATCATTTATTATTATTATTTTTAATCATTTTTAACTAATGTTAATTCAGTAAATATTTAAATTATTAAACAAGTTTAAGCCTTCATTTCTTTAAAATATACACAAACACAAAACTTCTTCAATTCAACATAACTGACATAAAGTATGATCATAACTGAAGTTCACTTATTCCAACTTTTTTGTAGTAAAAAACTTATTGGAAGACTTTCAAATTTATTATGTTTATAAAAAAAAATAGTTAATGATTTACACAAAAGTTTTTTATTGTGATGTGAAGAAAAAAAAAGACACAAAAAAGTAAATGAAAATCATGACATAAAAATTACTGTATCTGCAATTATTTTAAGTTAAATGTTTTAGTTTCACTAAAATTAGTTAAGTTGCAATTTTGAATATGTAATTAATAAAAATATCATTGATACTTTGCTCTATTATAAGCCTGTTTTCACCAAATTAGCAGTGTGTTAGTTGTGTTAAACTGTTTCAAATTTTTGACAATATTCTGTTAGTCAATTTTTTGAAAATTCATAAAATAATGAAATTTCAGGAAATTATTTTCAAGTTTTAAATCTGGATGTAAACAAATTTGTTTCAGGAAAATGGTTCATGATAGTGAAACTATCATAGAAAACATTCACTAATAAATATGCACAATAACAATAATTCATACTAAAAATTGCATATTGTCAAACTATGCTGTAACTACAGCAAACACAATTGAAGTAATCCCTATATTATCATCCTACATGATCTGTTATATTCAGGATTGCTTTCTGTAGATTCATTTCTATGAGACACAGTTAATATGTCTCAAAGAAATGAATCTACAGAACTGTGATTTTGTTGAAATGGAAGTGACTTATGAATGACTACAGAATATTTTGTAGACTAAGAAAAATTTGTATCAATTAAAACAAAAAGTAAATATATATATTTGCAAAATTTGAACAGTCACATAATGCATAATGCTAAATGTTTGCCATACTATTAAATTTAAAGAAATCCTTAATAAAATTGCAATCATTATTGTAAAAAAAAAATTCTAAATGTTTATAATAAATTTGTTACTTAATGTGAAAATTCCCGTCCTTTCTTATTATGAAATCATTTTAAATATAATATTTTCAATAAAAAAATAAATAAATTGAATTACAAGTTTCAATTGAAAAATTAGGTTGTAGATAGAGCAATAAAATAAATGAAACACTTGTTGTTACAATTACAATGCACTATTAACTTACAAGCAACAAGAGGCTGATGTATTAGTCAAGGTCACTATCATTAGAACACCATTAGGTGATGAATCATTTAAAACAAGTTTTCTATTTTAATCTTATTCTAAAATTCATTTAATTAAAATAAATACAATTAACTGAAACTTTCTAATTAACAGAAATAATATATATCAAATAATTTTTATCATATTTTAATTTAATTAAAATGTTTAAATTACTAAATAATCAATATAAGATAAATATAAATAAATAATCAGATTTATAATTAAAAAACATGCTTTAAATTTTTGATTTTTCATTAATCTTATAGATGATGGACTGTCATTGAATCAATTTGCATTGAGTAAATAGTTAAAGTTAACAATACTGGACTAATTAGTCACACATTTTGAATAGCTGAACCATTTAGTAAAAATTAATTTCATTTTAAGCCTTAAAAAAATTTGAAAGTAAAGTAGAATAATGTGAAAAGAATAAACACAATTAGTAATGAGTGTCATGCTATTTCAAATCATTATTTAATGTGACCATGTAATAATATAGAAAAATCATATTATATCATAAAACACACAAAAAAATAAAAACAAGTCATATTCTACATCATCTTATAACAATTTTCTGAATTAAATTGTTATAAGATGATGTAGTTAGATAAGATGATAAGATGATTTGTTTTTAAACAAAACTTGTGTTAGTGAATCAAAAATTTTTTCTGAATTTTGGTTTGATTCAATGCATATAAGCAAACATGAAAATAATAATACTATTGAACTTGGATATAATCATTTGAATTTATTTGCATTTAAATGATTTGTAAATAATCAATGAAATTCCACTGTAGATATTTCTAAATAACTTATAGTAGATAATATTAAATTCCAGATTCAAGTATCAGAAATCTTATCCATATTAAAAAATATAAAAAATATGATCACTAACTCAACCATTTCTATCAATTATAGCATATAAACTGTAAGCACTACACACACACACACACACACAATTACATATATTATAAATATAAATAATATATATATTTCCTTTCACAATGACGCTAATAATTAATTTAGTAGCTGAATAAAAGTGTGAGGGCCCGGATTTAAGATTCGAATATTTTTATTCATTAGATTAAAAGTTAGGGTTAACACAAAAAAGGGAAAAACAACCGACAAATTTTCTCATAAAAACTCCGTTCCCACGACAATACTTCCCTGTAGAAGATGAGTTAACTGTTGTGTCATAAGTTTGTCACTTCGCCCACTATTGGTCAACGAAGATCATCACCTGTGACGTACATGGGGAAATCTCGAAAAAAGAGCCCCCATATAAAAGGCAAGTGCGATGACGACACAAGGGGGGAAAAGTTATTTTCTATACTGTGTGTGTGGATTACCTGCCTCTCGTCGCCACCGTCTTCAACAGACTTTGAACTTTGGACTATATTCCGAACCCAGGAGAACAAGAAGCTACATCCTGTATAACTCAAGGTATTTATCCTACACGCGATGATATGCAAGCTCTCTCTCGTTATTCGAATATTCCAACTCGCGGTTAGGGGCGCGACTACTCTATACTTTGCCGTTACTTTATGAACTATACGGATTGAACCCCCGAGAGGGATTTGTATTCCAATTATTAACCATGTATAAATGTACAGAATAAACGAGTATTTTGTTAATGAACTTGGATTGGTGTGCGTTTCTTCCGACATTTTCCACTCTATACTGAACCCGAAGTCCTCGACGAGATTGCTCGTGATAATTCCCCATCCATCCGCGTATCTATCCGCGATAAATTGATAGATTGGTGTCAGATCCTGACAGGTGAAAGAATCTAACGAGCCTTTCTCCTAAACCTTTTTTTTCCCATCCTTTAGACAAGCGAGACCGGACCTCAAGGTCTTGAGTCAAGTAAGTGGTAGGAGAGGGACATCCTCGTAAACATCCTACCCCCGATTAGTCTCACAAAAGATATAAAATTTTAAGTATATATGTAGTAAATAGATTACCATAATAGTTTAAAGTTTTTGAACAGTTTTGTCATAAACTCTTATTATGCAAATAGAAGCAAATAAAAGGTGCTCATTCATGTTTGGCATAATCATTGTAAACTGTCAGATTAAGATAATTGTAAGATCCAGGAGTTAATTGTTCAATTAGCACTAACATGTGGGAAAAAACCTTTTCCCAATTTATGGTATTTCCATCTCCCATGGGATCAAGTGAATATTAAGTCAAACTGTCAACAGTTGTCACCAATATCCAGTTGTCCAGAAAAATTCTAAATGTTTATAATAAGATTGTTACTTAATGCGAATATTCCCATCTTTTCTTATTATGAAATCATTTTAAATATAATATTTTCATTTCAAGCCTTAACACATTATCCAGTTGTTGATGCATGGGAACATCGATGGTGTAATCGAAAAGAGAACAAGTCTAATCCCCACCGCCTTAGCCAGCCCAGTGACGACACATTTGAACTGTCATCACTAGACAACATAAAGTCACGAGACCAAATTCCCAAACCTGATGGTGATATAACAGCCACACACCCAACCTTTGGGGTAAACCTGATACAAGGAGGATGGCGGACTCCATCTAAATGCTGGTCAGAAGCTCATCTGTCACTACCCTCATCCTCCTTTTCGATGATGTTCTGATACTACGAGAGGTCAACTGATTGCCTACCAGAGGTAAATTACATAGATTGATGTAAACTTTCTCTCTCGGTCAATATAGACTTAAGTAGATAGTCCCCTGTTATCGCTTGGGACAAAAGCTAGAATTAGTATAACAGATATATTTTAGTCCTTAGTCATAGTACTGGATGTTATGTTGTTTATGTCTGCATGTAACTTAGTGTATTAGTTTATTGTACTCATTTAGGTTATTAAACTTTTGTTATTTGTTAACCTGGTAACCTGTCTTTACTCAGATGCATGTCAACGTACCCGCAACTCTGCCGCTCAATTCTGCCCTCAATATTAAATGTCAATCTTTGGATGACAAAGTATCATTGTGAGTTAAGATGAATGAATTTATCTTAACTGGTGTCAGACCTGACAGGAGAGAAAAATTCTATGATTTTCATCCCATCTCCGATCTTAACTGGCAAAACTAAGCCATCCAGTGACACTTGAGTGGGACTTACTGTCCTGACGTCAGGAAAAGGGTTTAGAGTTGTTATTAGTTATTAGAGCATCACTCTCTAACCCCCCGGCTTCTCACATAATCATGTAAAAATTTATTAATATAATATAATGCACACAAAAACTATAATTCTAAAAATTGTTAATTTTTTAAATAGGCTAATTTTATAAAATATTACATTATTATATTTACACAAGTTATTCTCAAAGTTCTTAGAAGTTAGTTAAATTAAAATGAAACTGACAAACTGCTTAGTTAAACAAACTATCCTGTATTAGTAAAATATTGACATGACTTTTAAGTTAACATTATTAAATATAATATCCAAAACACTGTCAATATTTCAACTATTGAATTTGAAATGCAGCATCTATGTTTTCTATGACTGCTAAATATGGTTGACAGATGGACCAATATGCAACCAAGATGACAATTTTTCCATTTATTAAAGAGGATAATTAATATTTCCTGTTATATAAAAGTATAATATACCTGCTACTTTTTGTCTATCTGATTCATCATGATCAATTGGTTGACTTGATAGAGAAAGAATTGTCAGACGTGCCATAACTTCATTTTTATCTTTATCCAAAAGAAGTTCAAGTTCTTGATTATCAACACATCTTTGTAATACCTGTATGATATAAATAATATAATGCTATTAAACAAATTTTATTTAATAATTATTATTATAAAATTATATTTAATACCTGTGTTAAGTTTATTTCCCCAACAGCAAGTGTTTTAAATCCTAACATAGCACTATTTTTATGTTTACTTTTTTGAAGCATTATATGTAAAAGATTATTATTTTTTATATAATGAGGGTACTGAAATTAAAAATAATTATATTTTAATAATATTTTAATAGCTCGTAATAATATTTATTTTTGTTACCTGTAAAGAAAATGTCAAATCTAACTGAGTATCCAACAGACTTCCATTTGGAACAATAAATGAGCTTGATCGTAAAATATGTTTGAAATTCTATAAAAAATTAAAATGAATAAAGTGCATATATATTTAAATAAATGAAATTAAAAGACTGAAAAACTGTAAATATAATTCATCATATTTCAAATTCCAACAAATAGTTTTTAAATTAATTCTTTATGTAATTTATTTATATCATTTCATCTTTACAGACTTAAAAAGCTTCCAATATTATCAATGCAAGCTATAATAATATTGTAAATGGAACCTAATGGTACTGTACATTTGCCATTAATTATATAATATTTTCATTCAGTTAGGTTATATTGCAATTAAACAAAATATTAAAAAATGTGTAGACAAAATATCAAATTTCATTCTTATCAAAAAAATGTCATTATCAGTAATTTGTTTAAAAAAAAACCTTGAATAAGATCAACATGATTAGTAAACTTTTATTCATTCAAAAGAGGGGAAAAATACTTTTAATTTATTTTTGACTCTAGTTACAAAATTAAAAACTCTTAAAAAAAAATTATTGCAGCTTTAGTAGATAAATGGAAAGAATTTCAAGTGCTCCTTCTGATAAATTTAATAAAAACAAAATTACCCAATAAATGTAAAATGGATGATTTAAATTTGTATATAAAGGAAAGAAAGAATATAGAAATGGAAGTAAAACTGATATAATCAAACTTTTGTGTATCATATTTCGGTTAATTTTGAGATGATGTTTGTCATGTTTTTCTAAGATTTTTGTATCAGTTTGATGGAAATGATAGGTAAATTTTGAAATACAATTGAGATCTGGAAACTCAACTCTTGATGACTCAATATTGCATAAAACTCATTATGTCATACAAAAAAAAAACTAATTTAATTTTTACCTCTAACATTAACACTAGAATCAAATAAGTTATCATTCTTCTATAGCAACACTAGATGATAACACTAATTCTGTGAGTTAACAAAGAACATGACTTTTTCCAAAGTGCCACTGCAAAATGCCATGATGCAAATTCACTAACTCAAAAATAGTGACTGAATAGCCAATATTTCTGTAATTAAAATTTAACTGAAATAGAAATAGTCACCATTTCTTAATTAACTATATACACATAGTTAATATATATGTGAGACCCGAAAGGCCCCTAGGTCTAAATTAATATTTTATTAATAATGTTAAAATAATGTCACCAAATATTACTTCATTTTTGGTGAGAAAAATACTGTTTTAACGTGGGAATAGGCAGATAACAGATGTTACTTCCTTTCACAGAAGAGAACATCCTCTGACTTTCCCTTATCTGGTTAAAATCCTGCTCAGATGGGAAATGGTTACCCCTCATTCATTCCCCTTTCATCCGTTCTCACGAAAGAGTTACTGGCCGATGATTGGTCGAAATTCAGAAGATATATAGGGAACTTGTTAGAATTCGGCGAGTTCAGCGACGGAGTTCAGCGACAGATCTGAAAGCGTCCAAACTCCACATACGTTTCCCTCCTGATGACCAATGTCCTTAGACGAGTCACATACAGAATAAGTCTAGAGTCTGCACATAGAAATTATACTTGGATTTTGTGCACATAGTGATCTCCCATACGAAGAAGTAAATGAACTTTATCTCCAAGCGTCCCTTGCATACAGAGAAGAAGACGAACGACAACTAAACAGATCGTATGTTTTATAACGATTTTGTGAGCTCTCTCTCTCGATCGCGAATAGGGTATAATTTAAGTTTAATTATCTCCTGATTTGTATATTAGTTGTAGTAGTTCTATCTCTCGTTTATCCACATTTTTGTATGAGTTTAATTTCTTGGTTTATTAAATTTATTATTTCGTTATTAATCAAAATATCTCCTAATATGAATCGTAATAAGTATACTTCACGCGTGTTAATCCGCGTGTTATAAGATTTATTAACTGGTGTCAAGGAATCCTGACGTAGCTCTAGACTACACAGCCTAGATCATCCTTAAACATAAAGCCCTCCTATATAAAACTTTTAAGATCGGATCTCGCGATCCGAAACTAAGGAGACAGATTTCGGTTAATCTGTGCCGATTAAGTGGTACAAACAATCCCCCTCGGATTAGAGTACCCCCGGCTACTCTCACATATATATGAAATTTCATACATAATACCTTTACGAAAATTCCACTATTTAGACTAGCATTATCCCTCATCATTATTGGTAACTAATCTTCTTCTTAGTCAACATCAAGTCAAGTTTGTGGGACTCTACTGTATTTGAAAACAATTTATTTTTTATTCCTACAAATTTTATTTGTTTAAAACACCCAGAAGGCAGGGTCTTATGAGTCTTCAAAATAAAATTGCATTATTTTATTTTGGAGACCCAGAAATTTCTGCATTAGCTGAAAAAAACTAATGGTTTCAACTATTTAGGATATTACTTTTTCAAAAGTGGCATAAACCCAACAGTTTGATACTATTCTTATACAGTCAAGCTTCTATATTACAAAGTTGCTAAATCTTGAAAAAAATTTGCTGTAGGAAAATTTCGTTATACAGAAATCCCATGTTTTGGTAAATAAAGTATAATTTTAATGTACTTTTTCATTACTTTATGTAATTTAAGTTGATATAAACATAATATATAGTAATAATGTAATATAAACAGTTTTAATTTTAAGTTTTGTAAAAAATAATTGTAATTTTTTGTTGTACAGAACAATTAAAAAAAGTTTTCTCTTTATAATATGCTTCACACTTATTAAGAGCATTAAAACTGCTTCATCTATATCAATATAAATGCAGATTTTAGTGCATTTCCCTATAGGTCTCACATCACTGGCTAATTTCAAAACTGATTCATGATTTGTTATTATGATTGATAAAGTACTCACAGGAATTCCAAACTTTGTTACAATGTCTTTCTTTTTTGAGCCTTTATCAACTTCCTGCAATAAATTAATATTTTTAATAATGCTTAAACACTTTATTAACAGTTGTTCAAATTCCAACTGGAGGCTTATTAAATAAAATAAAATCTCATTAATGCCAAAAATTAGTCCAGCAGTTGTCACAATTAGGACCTTTCTAATGTTTTTGACATTCATTAATTGTAAATCCTTTATCTGTCAACAATGTCATTTGGACCTAATTTCTTTCCCCCTTCTTTATAACCAGTAGCCACGTGGGGGCAGATTACATGATGGTTTTAAAAGCTAACAACCAGTATTTCTTATATCTGGCCTGTGGGTTTACAGACTGATATCTGAAATTGAATCTAAATTTGAACTCGACCCAGATGGATTAATTGACTTTTAATTATCGATGGTCCTTATAAATTAAAAAGGAATTTTTTATATAGAAATTTAATTTCATTATTTACAAGCAATTTTACATATATTTTTGGTTGAAAGAGCAGCGTATGATGCAAAAATTCATTATACAGAGAAATTCACTATATATAGAAGTTTTTAATATGAAAGTATGACTATTTATTTTGAATAATACAAATATAAAACAATAGAATTCATTGTAATATTTAGTAGGCAATAAACTAATTATGGGATTCAAATTTTAAATTATTTTTAACTATTTTACAAACTCATTAGTTATGAATATTAACTTATAAAATAATATTCAATTACTGAATACATTTATATAAAACTATATTTTGTTAAATCGAACTGTTTAAAAAACTGTTAATTAAATAGTCTTTTTCACTAAAATTTAATAAATAAAAGCCTAACGTATATGAAAAGATCTACTTACAAGATAAGGTTATAAATAATGGTTGTAAGATAAAATGACACATTATCACAAGATTATCAATTAAATATATGAAATTAAATTAAAAAAAAAAAAAAAAA